TTGAGCCCATCTACTTAGAAACTGGTATGATGGTACTCAATCCCTAAGCCACCAACATATATTTTAGGGTAGCTATTCTCGAAGATTTTCAACATGGGATGGAGAAGAGAAATAGGATAAAGAGAGAATCATTAGAAAACTCAAAGTGAACAGTTCATTATATCTCATCTTAATCCACATGTCATCATACCAGTTGAGCGGCATCCGCTTGAGAATATCTTATTTTAACTAGTAAGCAGGAGTATGTTTAGTCACCTTCCTGTAAACCAATCATCAGCCCGATTAGATTCCAAACCATAGGACGTCATGATGAGAAAACAATGAAATGGCCCGGACATAGAAGCCAGATAAGAGCCGAGGCGCTTGGTCCACGAGCTTCCAGATAACTGTTATATAATTTAAATATGTGTTACACCAGTGAGAGGTAGAGGCAAACAGAATAGTCACTTATTACTATAGAGTAGCACAGGATAGACAGAAAATAACATAGAAAGATGACTTCTCTACTTAATCTGAATCATTGAACTACACATACAGAATAAAAAAGACAGGATTCCGAGGTCTAACTTTTCCTGGGAAACCTAACTGTCAACTCACAGGATCTATTTATAAAAGTAAAACTATAGTAAGTTAATAGAGCGGCTGATTTAGACCAAACTTTACAATTCATTCCTTAAAAAGACAACTGATAACAGCGACCTGAAGCTATATATCTATGTTATAAATATCAGACTAGAGACAATCTTGTACCGCTATGATATAAATAACATATATTATAATTTAATATATATTCCTAGATGTAGTTTTGGCAGCCATGATGTATAAAGACTGTATGATATATAAAGACTGTAAATAGTAAGATAATATTATTAATATTTTTTATATAGTTTCAGCCCTAATTAATCTGCTCGAAGAAATGCTAACTATCTTGATTAGATAAAATAGTAATAATTCATTACTAACTATTGAAATCTTTGTTCATCCACATCGTAAGGTACTACTAGTAATACTAGCTAAATTATTAAAGTAGGACTGATATTAGTACAGATATTTCTTGTAATTCGCTTATTGTAAGGGCTATAGGGACTTATATCTTGACAGTATTATATTTAGAATATAGAATTTAGTTTTTTTTTTTACTTTGTTTACGTTAGTTACCTTATTTACTTTACCTTATTTATGTTTAATATTTATATAAATCTTTCTATAATTCTTCCTTGCTCTTCATATAATTAGACTTTTAATATCGATGCACCAAATGAGATACATTTGATTAGCTCCCACCAAAGAAATAAGATTAAAAATTAAACTAAAGAAAGAAAAAATATATTAAAGCAAGTATTCAAAAGAATAGAAACAAAGATTGAAATAGAGATAGAAGAGGCACACAAAAGCAAGTATTTCACTACCACTACTATAGTCATTAAGAATATTTTCTATATATAATACATATCTGTTCGTCTTTTTCAGAAGTGGGGTCAGGGCCTGATAAGTTGACTCAGTTCCAAAATGAGCTGCGTCCTCATTAGTGATGAGGAGATCACGTGAGAAGAGAGGGAAAGAGAGGCAGATAGCAGCAATAGGGATAATAGTAGGGCATTTCTAAATTCATATTAATCATCGACACCAACAGCGTGATGCGGTGTTTACACTCTAATTCCAGCTCTAGCAGATCAGAATACATATTACTTATGGGCCTTCCTTCTATTGGCTACTGCACTTATTTTATCTGAAAATGCAAGTCTTAATACTCTTAATGTTATGATATAAATAGATTTAGGCTACGTGAGGAACCATACAGCAGGGCAGAAGGTGCCGAGATCTAATATATTTCTCCTTTCTTTCTTTGAGTCTCATTATGTTCCGGGGATCATCTTACCGGTGCATAAGCAATAAGAGAGTTAACAAGCGGTGACAGCCAGCCACAGGTATGGCCAGCCAGCCACAACGTGGATCTTGGTATATGCAGGATATTGGGTTTTTCATCTGCTTACATCAACTGCTATTCGCAATACTACCCCCCCGCAGTTTTGAGCGGCCCCTTGCATGCTTACCCGTCATCAGCAGGTGTCCACTCAAAATGTGGGAACCACTGGGAGGCCATCATACTGAGCTTCTCTGTTGGGAGGTGAAGGTGAGCTGCAAGGAAACCTCAGCTCATGAAGTTCAAAGCAGGTAAATATCGGTCAGAGCGTCTTGCGCAATGGCTCTTCTCAAGATCAGCAATCCGTTATAATGGGACGTTGCGATGCAATAGTAGCTCACCGTGATTACCCGCAACGATGGAGTCCTCCGGAAGTGCCTCGGTTTGTTCTCCCATTTGTACCGGGTCAACTGACCACCACACTCACACCTCTCTTCTTCTAGAGTCCCGCGTCGCTACAATTCTCAACTCATGATCCGGCTTGCGATCACTGTCGGTGGAAAAAAATTCGATGTGACCGGGCGCGGCCGCGTTGCGGAGCCTGCCGCCGGGCGTGCGTCGCCTGCGAATACACCTCCAGAGACCGAAAGGTCTTTGCCACTAGTTCGAGCAACTCTAGTGATGAAGGGACCATCAGCCCTTTTGGTAACCGACTGGCCCAGCTAGAGAGTTCCGTGGAACGCTTGACGCAGATAATCGAGCACCGGCTGGTCAACGAGCCACACTGCCACCAGCCAGACCGACCGGTGCCCCGTCGTACGTCGACGCCCCCCTTGATAGAAAACGATCCCCAAGGTCGCGTTCTCTTCACACTCGAAGATGGTCAACGGTTTCTCTACGGACCTTACTCAAATATGGCCAATTGCTTGGGGATTCTACGAATTTTGAGGTCCAGACGACATGACCGGAACGGTGATGTTGACCCCCTGTTGAAGCAGGTATCGGAGTTGTGCAACCTGCTTGGGCCCCAAACATTCAAGGTCTCGTCCGCGGAACCGACCCGGCTCCTGCAGCTGTCACAGCAGGCCGTGATGCAAGCAACCGACAGGTACCTTTCCCAGGGAAGCTATATACAACACCTGTTTCACCCCAGTATCATGCGTTCCCGAATCCAAATGTATTACCTTGGTACCTTGGGGGTGTCTGAAAATGGTATGAAACTGTGCCTGCAGTACCTCATGCTACAAAGCCACCCGCAAAGTAAGGAAAATGGCTCCGATAGCCGTGATCACGGCCTAGCGCAGGCGAATTGCGACGAGTTCTGTGCCACCGCCAGGGCGGCGTTGGTGCAGGGTCAGCTGCAAGCAACCACGCTCGTCAATGTTCAAGCTTTGGCATGCATTGTGAGTGAAATCCGTCGGGGGAACGTAGCCTGAAGCCTGAACGACACGTCATCGGGGCTGGTCGTAAGTTCGTAACAAACTAACTGGAGCGGACAGACAATCATCGCTTTACAGGCAGAAGATCTTCTACTGGCCGATGAAGCCTTTCATGGATGTTGTGCCATGGCGCAAAGAATGGGTTTGCACCGAGAGCGCCAGTCAAGCGACGAGCATGTTGAAGAAGCAGAAGAACGGAGACTGCTTTTCTGGACCATCTTCATATTGGACAAAGCCATCGCTTTCACCCTTGGCCGGGCCTACATGCTCCCAAGCTTTGATTGCAGCACCCCAACCCCAGATATGTCGCTCCACAGTGTCCCTGTAGAAGGGCTATCGGCGAGGATTGGCGTGGCGCTCATCCAAGAACGCGCGTATCAAATCCTGTTAGCCTCGGGGAACACCCACAATAATCGGACTCGTCAGGAAGCCATTACTGACGTGGTAGACCGATTAGAGTCTTGGATGGAAACCCATTTTTCCTCGTCCGAATTTTCTGGTAACGTCGTCCTGGGGGCATGGGACCTTATGACCCAGCAGGCGCTACTATATGAATACTACACAACGCGTGCCGTCGTTCTCGCCCACAGCATGTTTCCCGATGCGCCCAACGAAGTCCTGGCCAGCGCGCGAAACGCCCTGTCCCAACTGTGCCCTCCCTCGCCCCAGGGGAGAACACTATTCTCCGATTCTCGGCGCTGTTGGTAAGTATCACCCTGTCCTCATTCATATCTTTGGTAGTTTAGTGACATATTTAGGCCGAAGGGGAGTTATACTCTATTTCCTTTCTTTATCATCACCAAGCACATCCTGCTGGCGGCACAAAATGCGCCGGACCGCAGGGACTGGATCAGGTTTCTCTACGACACCATCTCCTGCTGGGAATCCAGTCACAGCCTTCGCATTAGTATCGCACTAATAAAACTCGTTTTGCCTCCGTCTAATCTGGTCGGGTATCGCAGGGATCAGCTCTCAGGTGAAAATGTGTTCTGGAACGGTGCTGGGAAGTCACCCAGATTGGACTCTGGTCAAGATTGGGCTTCTTCACTACCTTTGTCCTGTGTCGGACAAGAGCAGAGGGACCAGGACCAGTCAGTCATGGATCTATCTCTCGACACCATTCTATCTGTGACAGGTGCTCCGTTATGTCCCGAAATCATGGGTCAGGCTGGTGGCGACCCTTTTTCCTTCGTTGGCCTTGTGAGCCATCCCGAGACTATCGATTCCAACCTGGATGCAATAGACTCATGTTTAGTGGCGTCCTCCCCACATGATACATTGCAGCTACCGGGACTGACACGGTGATTAATGTACCTATGTTCTATCAGAACTGTTAAAGAGTCCGGTTGTTGTCATATTTCCTGGATCCAGATATGTGGAATAAAGGGCTAGAAGGCATGAATGTTCACCTTGTCTATTATATCATATCTAAATAAAGGAACTGAGAAACGAGAATCGTAATTATCGCATCGTAATTCTTGCGTGCCATGCTGACCATATATGCCCGTGGTGTGCTCCGTACTACAAAGAGGCATCGTTTGCTGCAACAATAGCGTTTGGAAAGGGTGTATAAAGGGACCCGAAGTGGGCTGCAGGTGCCCTGTAGACATGGTTGTGACGCGACGCGGGCCCGGTTCCGGATCTCAGCAGGGTGAAGGAATGAAATCCCTCAGCACCGGCTTCAAATCATGAACTGGCTAGCTGATTTGCTTCAACAGTCCGTTGAGGACATTTTCAGCGCCGGGATTGAGGCGGTAGCACACCTCATATTCGTTGGGCTCTTTCATTATCCCTACCGGAACTTGTTGCCCGCCCGCTGGCGCCTGGAACTTCTGTTCTCGGGCCACCATGCCAGTGACCAGTTCATACGCCAGATTTGCCGCCTGCAAAGTGATAAACTCAGTTAGCAATGGCAGTTCATGTCTGGGGTCATTACAGAATGACTGCTGCTTTCATTGACGTACCAAATATGCGGTTTCACCTCCTGGGGTGTCGTAGGCTGGGGCTACCTCGACGATATCAGCTCCGACAATGTTCAGATCCATGACACCCCGCAAGATTTTGATCATCTCGCGCGTGGTCCAGCCACCCGGTTCAGGGGCTCCCGTTCCTATCGATATCGCGCAAATTAACAATCAACGGCTCGGCATCGTCGGGATGGAAGGAGAGGGGGCCAGCTAAGGTAAACCTACCCGGAGCAAACGCGGGATCTAGTACATCGATGTCAATACTCATGTAGACTGGCTGATCCTTGGGGATATGCTGATGAATGCGATCGACGATGCCGGCCGCGCCAATGGTGTCCACCTCGTCGGCGGCAATGCGCAGAAAACCCTGCTTGTCGTCGTCCTCTAGGTCCTGGAAGGAATTCCCACTTAGACGGGTGTTGATACCGGCGTGTAGTGATGAGGAGTTCGAGATTAGGCCCTCCTTCATGGCATTCCAGAAGACAGAGCCGTGGTTGAACTGAGATTGCATGGAAGTCCAAGCCGAGGGGTACCGATCGGGATGCAGCGAGTCAAGGTGAGAATCGAAATGTAAGAGAGCCACGGGCTCACCGTACTGTTCACGAAGAGCTCGGAGGGCGGGAAGCGCCACGAGATGATCTCCACCGAGGGTGATGAGCTTGGGCTTGCCCGTCCCGGTGGTTGTCCTCCGAGAGCCCAGCTCCCGGTAGGCCTCGGTCATTTGATGGACGGCGACGGCGTTGTCAAATGGAGTGACGGGGATATCTCCACAGTCTAGCACACGTGCCCATGATTGATACGGATTGATTTGGGCTGCGGCATGGAAAGCGCGCGATGGGATATGGCGAGCAGAGGCGGTGCGAATGGCACGCGGGCCCATACGCGCACCTAACAGGGTAGGGAAAAAATCAATATCAGACGGTGTTCATCGATAATAGTGAATCCTACAACAAGGGCAAAATTTACCAGGTCGATAGCTCACGGCCGTGTCGAATGGCGTGCCAATGATCCCTATGTCAAATGGCGTGTCGGGATTGGTGAGACAATGGACATGCTCCAAGTGGCCAAAAGTAGTAATCCCTGAAAATGCCCACTAAAGACGAATTTCATTAATAAACAAAATTAAGCTCATCTCTGTCGATCACAATTTGGCTCGGGTTTGTGCCTCGATGGCCTTCAACTTACATCTTCACCCCAACGTTCCTTAAGCTCCTGCACGTGAGCCGGAGATGCTTGGGTGGCTGAGGCGCCTCCAACAAGGCCCCCAAAAATGGAGCACCACAGAGAGTAACGCATTATTGGGACCAAAGTATCCGGTGGGTGACAACAACAATGTGTAGGGTGGTAATTGGAGAACAGGTGGGGAGGGAGGGACGCGTAGGGTTTGGGTGGTTTGGCCAATCGATTTATAGCGACATACCTCGCCCTCCCCGAATGCGTCTCCAGCCTCGAGGGCCTCCATACCCGGCCCGCCCGATGACGCCCTTGCATGCACGGGGCCGTCATAGATCGCCCACCGACCAATTAATGGTCGGAGGCCCCCGGGGTGTGCATCTGCCTCCTGCACCTTTCGGAGACACTAGGAGGGTCCCGTTTACAAATCGACTCCCGGCACCCTCCCTTGCTTGCTAGCCCTCGTGAATGCGCTCTCCTCCTCCCGCCTCTTGCTCTTTCTCCATCCTTCCTCCATCTCCGGTTTGCTTTGGTTCTTTGGCTTTCTTCAATGCTTCGCAACTAGTCTTTCAAAAGTCTTTTTGGTCACGGTGGCTGTACAACCCGCCCTTTTCCCTATTGTTACGTCTTCACGGGATACCTCCCGTACCACCTAGCTAGGATGGGGGACATATACTCGGAAGCCGAGTTGGAGCGACTTGGTCGCATGAGGCCGACCATCTTCCCCAATTTGCTATCAGAACTTGGGTTTTGCTTTTCCCTCGTGCTCTCGCAAATTATGGCGGTAAGCTTCATTACAATATCCCCTGTTTAGTCGGTGTAGACAGCTGTCTTGGGCGGACCTCTGGGCTAATCTTCATCAGGAATACTTTATCTCCGGTTTCAATGTTCTGTTGCCCTCTTTGGCCGAGGGACTGGACATTCCGGAAGCCTCATCTAGCTGGCCGTCGAGCGCTTTTGCCCTGACGGCGGGTGGCTCGTTGCTCTTCTTCGGCCGTCTGGCCGATCGCTATGGAGGGTTTGTGGTCTTCGCAGGAGGCTTGGCCTGGCATCTGGTCTGGTCGCTTGTGGCCGGTTTCGCGAAGAACGCCCTTATGATGTATTTCTGTCGAGCGCTACAGGGCTTTGGCCCTGCTGCTTTTCTCTCAGCAGGGATCATGCTCTTGGGCACTACCTATCGCCCGGGATGGCGGAAAAACTTAGTATTCAGCATCTACGGCGCCTGTGCTCCCATCGGATTTGTTGCTGGGATTTTCGTGTCCGGAATGACCGGGCAATTTCTTGACTGGCGCTGGTACTTCTGGATCGGGACTATGCTGCTCTTCCTTGCCCTGATTGCAGCTGTGCTCTCTGTCCCAGCCAGCATCCGCCGCAAGCCTCCGCATCCTGACATGTCTATCGATTGGGCTGGCGCCGGTCTTTTCTTCTGCAGTCTTGTGCTGATCTTTTTTGCTATCAACGATTGCGGTCATGCACCCGACGGCTGGCGCACTCCCTACGTGTATGTCACGTTGATTGTGGGCTTTTTTCTGCTGCTGGCTGCTCTGTATGTCGAAGGTTGGGTGGCCAAGGAGCCGCTGCTTCCTCTTAGCCTCTTCCGCATCCCCCAGTTATCGTCCCTCCTCCTCGGCCTGTTCTGTTTCTACGGCGTGTTTGGAATCTGGCTGCTGTACTGTGTGGAGTACATGGAGAACATCATGCATGCCTCGCCGCTGCTCGTGGTGGCGTACTTTGTACCTTTCGCGCTGGGTGGCATCTTCTTCAGTCTGATTGGGGGCTTATTCCTGCATGTTCTTCCGGGTACGGTTCTTCTGGTAATCTCCGGGATTGGATGGCTAATGGCACCACTGCTGTTCGCCATCATGCCGCTCGGGGCTAGCTACTGGCCGTATGTGTTCCCGGCTATGATCTGCGGCACCTTGGGCATGGATGTCACCTACAATGTCACCAATATCTTCGTGACCACCTCTCTTCCCGAGCGACAGCAAGGGCTGGCCGCCGCCGTCGCCAACAGCGTTCTATTCCTGGGCATCAGTTTCTGGCTGGGGTGGGGTGACTTTACCTCAGCGCAGGTCCATGGAGACTTGCGCGCGAGATACCAGGCCGCACTTTGGATGGCGGTGGGGCTGGCCGGGTTGGGACTGATAATCATGGTGCTCTTTGTGAAGATCAAGCCCGCCAAGAGTGAAGTGACTGTGGATGAGAAGGAAGGGGGCTCGGCAGGCTCGGGAGGCTCGGGGGACACGGAGTTAATGCCGAAGCAGGAAACAGACATTGGAGTAAATGGACGGGATGGGAATGACCTGCAATAACTGTGACGGGACTCATTCATTCTGACTATCAGCTGTGGTTGACTTGAAAACGTCAATCATTATTTCACCATCAGAATATTTATTCCAGATATTAGGCCCCGATGGAAAGGTCTTGTATTGGAAGAGATATAGAACCCTCTTGGAATATTTACATAGATATAATCTAGCTCCCACTCTTTGGAAGGCTTTACCGAACTTTAATACACCTTGGCATGTATTCTTGTACACTGCGCATGGGAATCTGGAAACATAAAACCATATACCACGGAAGGCTGTGTATTCATTAGATGAGCATTTGAGAAACTGAACAACAAGAAAGTATCTGTGATACGGATACATATATATTGTAAGAAAATACGTATCTAACTAAATGGCATTATCATTCATATGTCATTAGGGTGGTATTAATGTATCTATGGACACTCATCATTCTATATAATTCTACCACTGACATATTCTGACAGCAAATGTTTCCATGAATCATATTTAGAGAACTACTTATTTGACAGAACCTTAGAATTCATTATGCTCTGGGCAGCTTATTAAGTTTGCATAGATCACTGTAGCCAGTCGGCATGCTTCTCTCAGTCATATGGAGTTCGTGATATATATACGGGCAGGGTATTCGGAGCCTGCCGTAGCAATATCTGCCAGGTAGCGCCAACACTTCGTATCTTAGCCCCTTTAGATTCTCAAGAAAGTTTGGAGAATGATATTTCGACTAGGCATTCCAGTGATACATACAAGCACATAATTCTTCTTTTTGAAGAAAAGCATAACCGCTAACATCATAAAAGCCTCGGCCACAATTTATATTCGATAGTTGAGATAATAAACTACTATCTCGCAACTCAGGAGAAAAGACTTCGGAATACAACAGTTTTACGTACCACAAGAAACTAGATATGAACTGAGGTGAAGTATGTTTTGGTCGCTCTTTAGGTGCGCTTTGAGAGATGGAGCGCCTGCCTTTCAGCCCATTCGGCAAGAAATCACATATACACTTGACTTGTACCCTTGCTCCTAGGGCCCTTTCCACCACACGCTTAGGGGCCGTCAAGAAGTAGGGTAGATACATATACAGTTAGAGTTTTATAATGACTGATATCTTGCAGCTCCACGAGTATGTCCACTCTATGGTCCCTCCTTACTACTCGGACGGGCGACCGGGCGACTGAGTGGGCGATTGAGTCAGGCGGGAACTACGTGGCGTTGCATTAGACGCGATTGCCGGCAGATATAAAAGACCATAACATTATGATATATTAAATCACAAGCGTCTGTTTTATTGCCACTTGCTATTTTTCCTATTACTAAAGAATACTACGAGTGCTGCTGCCAACATACCAGGGCCCGCAAGGGATTACCCTGACTAAGAGACACGGTGAAGAATGCTGTGTCCGTGCTGCACATCTCGGTCTGACACGGATGGCGAAGATCATCCCCCCCACACTGAATTGCTTAGCATCTGCAGGGCTCGGAGTGGGGCCGGATATGAACACAGTGCTGATCCTCTCATTAATTACTGCAAGGGAGTAAGAGAAAGGACTTCGGTCTTTTCCGTAGGAGGGGAAGGTAGACCGCGGACGTACCGAATAACCAACACTTATAAAGTATTCTTTGAAATGTGGCAAGCATCATCTCAACACAATTTCCTCCCAAACAAACAACTTCCATCTATCCACCCCTTGCAAACCCACCACCACCATGACCAACACTCAGTTCGGCGAAGAATGCGACATTGTCGCCGTCCTTACCCCTAAGCCGGGCAAGTTGGACCGAGTGCGTTACCCCTCATGGTGTCGGCAGGCATTTGGTCTGGTACCCTCTGTCTTTTCAATTTACTGACTTAATCTTGAACGTAGGTGGCTGAACTCCTCACCAAACTCACCGCATGTGTCAAGAAGAATGAACCCGGGGTTTTGAGCTTCCACTTGTATAAGGACTTTGACCGGGAGACCGGTCAGGAGGAGCTGGTTTTGGTCGAGAAGTAGGATTCTCTCCATCTCTTCACATTGAGTGCCCCAGCCGCACCCATGCTGACTGGACTAGATACGTCAACAAAGAGGCATATGATCTCCATGCTGAACTGCCCGACTTCCAAGCCATGCATGCTACCTTCCGCGCTGAGGAGCTCATGGCCAAGCCCATCTTGATCAAGAGTGTGAAACCATTGGTGGGGTTTGAGCGGAGCTAAGTGAATAGCTGCCGCTTATGCATAGTTCGGAGGGGGTCTCCGACAGTAGTATAGTGGTAGATAGATATAAATACTACCCCCCACTTCCCAGAAATATTTAATCTCGTGTAGAAAAAGCTCCGGACACTAGCTACCCTCAATTCTCGTTCTACATTCCTATCTCATATTCCAATCTCAGTACCGAATAGTGGACTTTCTGTGAAGAGCATAGTCACAACCATGAACATCCGCACAGTTGTTGAAGCATTCTGCGCCGACTTCGCTAATGGTACCCACCCTACCACCATCCTCGACACGCGCTTCACTAGCAATCCTGAAATCTACGAGTATGGTCCCGACTGGGCGCGATCCCGACTTCCCTACCTAGGACGGTCCTGGACTGGAAGACGATCTTCATCTACACCGTCGTCCGAGGAAGACACCACCTGTGACGCCTACTTCGACGTTCTTGGACAGACGCTCTTCTTCGAGCCAGACAACCGAGAGCCTACATCTCCGCCCGATCAGTTCTTGGTCTCAGCATCGAATGGAAATGACGATGCTGTCATGGTCAAACTGACCTCCACGGTGGGAAGCGTCGCAACTGGGAAGAAGTGGGTGGAGACATTTGTATTCTTGTTTGGGAGGTTCGATGCGCAGGGTAAAATCGGCAAGTTGGAGATCTGGTCGGATTCGTTGAGCGCTTGGGTCAATTCTGAGTAAATGGCTTCCTTGTGCACTTCTTTGAGATATGTCACTATGGCTTCAATGGGCTTAATTTATGCAGTTTATAGGTACCGTCATCAATTCTAGAAACACATCAAATTTTCAGATATTTACTCCAGCTAGCTCAGCTGATTCGTCGCCTCTTCTTATTGAGTGGTCCCCGACCACCAGTTCTTCCAACCACCAACGATCTTTTTTAAGACCAGGTAGATCGAATGCACATACGTTTTTCTCTACGTCTTGACATCATACTGGATCCGAACAGTTTGAGGCACCATGTTTGATAGACGGTACAGGGTCACACTGCTCAGTTGAATTTTACGCCCTCGAACGCAACCGTTAACTGATTCCCCCTTGGTCCCGAAATGAAGCCGTCCTCCTGCTCAATTCCCTCGTCATTTACAATATGTGTGCGGAAGTTGGCGTAGATAGCTGCCACCACATATTTCAACACTGAAGCAGAAGAGTTAGCCAAGGGAACAGCGGTAGCGGCAGCGGTAACACTTACAGTACAATGCCAAATTACTGCCAATACACATGCGCGACCCACTGGAGAATGCCCAGAACCAGCGCTCCTTCTTATCAGCGCCTTCCAGAGTTTCTGACAGCCAACGCTCTGGATGCCATTCATCTGGGCGTGGGAATACTGCGGGATTGCGATGCAGGCTCCACGCAGCCGCACTTACGCGTACTCCTCCGGGTATGTTTTCATACGGACCCAGCGTGGTTTGGTTATTCGCCGGCGTGATCCGTGGCTGACTGCCGGCCACCGGGGCGTGTAGTCGCAGGGTCTCCATAACAACTGCATTCAAGTAAGGCAGCTCGTCCACATCCTTTGCCTTGGGTAGCGTGTCATCCCCCGCCTTCGAGGCGGACCATGCAAATGCTTCGGGACCCAGCTTGCTGCGCAACTCGTCCTGAAGACGCGCCAGTGCCACTGAGTTCTGCGACAGCTGCCACGTCACATACAGCAGCGTCGTTGCCACGGTGCCATTGTTAGCAATAAGTTGATCTAGCAACTCGCTGGTAACCTGCAATTGCTGCGGGGACCGCGGTGTCCGGAGAGTCTGTGCTGCATTTCCGTCCATGCCGGCAGAGACATCGTCACCGATCATGGGATTCTGGGTGATACTGGGTGTGGTAGACACGCCCTCTTTCTCGGTGCTCTGACGGAGTCTCTCGTATACTACCGGAAGGTGGCCCGGCTCCAAGGAGGACCCGCCTGCCTTTTTGGCTAGCATGATTTCTGCACCATCACTCATGTTGAGACACCAAGCAGCAATCTGATCATGTGCAAGATGTCGTGCCCGGGGAACAGGGGAGATTCCAAGTTTCTCCAGCCACGCAGTGAGACCGGGCAACTCTTGCAGCCAGAATAGCGACACCGGGTGTTGGTCGTCCAAATACAGGTTTTGCCAACAGGCGGCGGCTGTCAGGTCAGTCACAAACTGGGTGCCGGCCGACAGACCGAAGAAGTATGAAGTAGTCAGATCCATGGCAGTTGCTTTGTAAATGGGATAAATATCCATTGGCTTCTTGGTGTTGGCATGGTTGGCGAACTGCGGGAGAAGTCGACGTTGCACTACCTCCTGAATTATGGCCGTCGCGTCGGGTGAGGCTTGTAAAAATGATTTGGAATAGATGTTCGATATACGCTTCTTCCGCATCGCATGTTCAGGAGAGTGTAAGGAGGAGAACATATTCAACGCTCTGTGGAGAAGAATAAGTCAGCAGCGCGACGATACTAGGACAGCAACTCAACGAACCCATAGTTCACGAAGACGGTATAGAATGGCGGCTTCTCGAAACCCTTCCCGTACACTGTCTTGATGCCATCGTTCACACAGTTGATGCTGACCTCGTTCGGCGCCAAACGGACGACATCGCCATGCTGCTGGTGTGCTTGGAGAACGGTGTTATTTTCACGAATCCGATACCTCGCCCACAAGATCCACAGGGACGTGTATGGAGCCAATGGGTGAGCGTTAGGGATCTTCGCCAGTGGAGAAAGAAAGCTAGGGTAGATAATGAAATGGTACAGGAACAAGGCCACCAGGGCAATGCCTGCACACGCAGGGACGCTGGGCAGGATACTGGCTTCCATCGGTATAATTGTGCCAACTGGTGTAGGATGTAGGGGAGAACTAGCTAGTTATGGTGAAACTGTACTGCCATATGCTGTGATCAGAATTAAGAAGTAAGTTGGCAAACGAATATGCAGACGACATCACGCAAGCTGCCGCACATCGAGATTATAGCGGCAGCACCTCTCGGAGGCCTCCGAGAGGTGCAGATTCATACCAAGATCGTCGTACAACGTACTGTCGGCTATATGCCGCCCCCGAGCATTTTGCGGCTAGCTGAAGTAATGCTAATGCTTTGCTGATCATTTGGTACCCCCCAGCGTATGGGGGGAGGAGGTGGCTGTGCCTTGACATATGCTTCTGGTCAGGAGGAGGTGCTTTGATCAGCCCTAGGGCATCAAGCAAGAACAATCAGCCCTGGTGAAGTCAGTGTTGCGCGTTCAAAACACCAGGAAAGGAAAGCCAAATGCCTATCCTGACTTCTTACATTCCAGTGAGAAAAACAACGCATCTTCAGCCAGAGGATGACTGTCGGAAGCTTCCGCGGTATGCAGTTCCACTACGAACGCCACGCACCCTACGGCGCTGAATGTGTGGAGATCTAGGATGTCAGTTCAGCTCCCATAGTCAATGTGATTGTTGCGTTACACAGTCGATGCTTAAAATGCCCTGTGTTGTGGACCAAGTTCCAGTCTTCGAGGACATGTCCAACTCAACTTCCCACGATTTCTCCGAGACCATCAACATCAACCCATAACCGGCCTAAATCATGGCTGCTGGAACTGTTGTTACGCTGGACATGGCAAAGTTCTTCCTCGGGAGTGAGGAAGAACGAGCCCAGTTTTCTCGCGACTTATTGCAATGCTTTGCGAGCCAGGGGTTTGTTAAGCTGATCAATCACGGCGTCCCTAATGCTGCCATCGACAAGGCATTCGAATGGGTAAGAAAGTCCTTTGATTAATTTGGGTTACTCACTGGAGGAGGTGGACTGATAGAACCGTGAGCAAAAAAGAACCGTTCCTTTTTCGAACTGCCCCAGGACATCAAGAAGAAGTATCCTCATCCACCCTGTGCCAACCCCAACCGCGGATGGGTGAGCCTCGGTCAAGAGAAGAGCTCGGCGATCAAAGATTTTGAGAAAGGGGTCTGTAAGGAGCATAAGGAGGTGTTTGATGTTAAGGTAGGTAGTATTCCATCAACAATTTTCATCCCTCTTGGTTTGCTGACCCGCCGATTCGGTAAAAGGAGTCGTTTGACATCGGAAACCCCGAAGACCCGATGTACGACAACATATGGCCGGATGAGAGTGAGGCACCAGGCTTCCGCTCTTTCTTCGAGATCTTCTACGAACTTCTTCACGTGGCGCATTTGAACATTCTGAAGGCACTGGAGATGGCCCTGAGCACCAAAGACCAGCCATTCGAGGTTATCAAGCACTGTATGCCCAATGTCAGCGAAATGCGCTTGAATTATTATCCCGCGGTTGATATCCGTGATCTGCGATCCGGCCACATGAGCCGCATTTCCGAGCACACGGACTTTGGGACCGTCACCCTGCTCTTCCAAGACTCCGTCGGAGGACTGGAAGTTGAGGACCAGTCCAACTTGGGCACCTACTTCCCCGTGGAGTGCGAAAACAAGCATGTCATGCTCGTCAATATTGGGGATAGCCTGCAGCGGCTAACGAATGATTACCTCACGTCGGTCAGCCATCGCGTGACGCTGCCTATCTCCGCGCGGGAGCGAGAGGAAGGACAGCTGAAGGAACGCATGTCTGTTACGTACTTTGCCAAGGTGGCTCGGGATAACTCCATCTACCCGTTCGGGCAGTTTGTGTCCGAGACCAATCCGGCCAAGTATCCCCATATGACGGCGTATGAGTGGAACCAGATCAAGTTGGAAAAGATCTACGGAGCCTGTTAGATGGAAATGCCCTTCTTGTAGCAAGAGAAAGAGCCAACAGACAGAGACCCAGAATGAAGGGAGCGTGGCCCTAAACCGGAAAGGATAGATTGTGCAGGTCATTGGCGTGATTCACTTTTTGGCAATGTTTGTTTCAAGATGCGGGCGAACTTTCAAAAGTCATAGGGCCAGAGTGTATAGTTCATTATCAAGTACCCAGTCCTAGCGGCATCTTCATCAACAATTTCGATCATACTATGACACATGACACTCCTCACCAACCATGTACTCATAAGGCTATCTGCCTTACTGTGCTGAAATACGGGATCTTATCAGGAAGCCTTCGCAACATAACTGATTTGGCGATGTAGTTTTCATTAGTCTGCGCCCGCTTCGCTCACATGTAGAAAACGATGTAAAGGTACAAATATTTTATTAACATCTAAGTATTGGATGTTCTATACTGGGATTTATTTCTAGTCGAGTGACCACGTGGCAGGCATGTACATACTAGTGGAAATTTCGTGTAGCGAAGCCAAAGATCCCACTTTACTTCTAGTCTTGATTAGCAGACATTGTTCACGGATCCTTTCAGTTTGTTAATGTAATTCTCTTCTGTATACTATTAGAACTCTAAGCACTGTTTCTATTCTCTTCTGTTCCAGGTAGAAAAAGTGATACTACTAATTAAAAAGTCATTTGCGTACATATATCATGTGCAGGATAGATATATAAATGAAGAAAACCTACACTTTACTACATTATTAACGTTTCTTTCTCTGTTTCTATTTCTTCTTTTTGGTTTTCAATCGTGTTCTCATTGAATCATATTCCTGGATATTAATTTTACAAAAATCTAGGGAGTACTTCCCCCTCTTCTTACTGTTACCAATGGGTAAGAGTCATACTGAAGGAAAATATCAACAGTCAATCATGGGTGGCCTGGTTGGGGCGGGAACTATGCTAGTTATGCAGATGCATATTAGTAATAGGATTATGCATTTATTAACGTAATCAATGGTTGGGCGGCCCACACGGTTGGGCGGCCCATCCCCCTGCCTGAATTGCTTGATATCTTTAAAATAAAGCCTTTAATTCAACATAAACACTTATAAAAATGCTATATAATTAAAAAGTAGATGGTTTTGAATATTATATATATTGGTGACTAATAATAAAATAATTAGTATAGTATAGAGGCGCGTGCAAAGAGATCTTTATAAATAAAGATTAAGATTTAATCTTAATTTTTTTATTATCTTATATTTTCTGTTTTTATTAAGTTATATTCTGAGTTTTTTTAATAATAGTATCTTTTATATAGATTACTTACTTTCTTAAATACTTTTTTTTTATAATTATTTTATATAATTAGTATATAGTTCCTCATTCTCCTTGGCTAGTATAATTAAATTTATTATTACTAGCTTATATTTTTTGAGGAGTTGACATAGTATAAAGTAAGTAAATAAAATTAGATTTATTTATTATTTTTAAAATAGCTATTCCACTGTATTCTGATACTTTAAAAAATATTTTATATTATATAATATTTGAAGCACTGAGCCACTTGACTGACTACCTGGAGAAGATAATATTTTAAAATAAATATTAAATTAAAAAAGTATTTGCTTAGAATCCAGAGAAATAAAATCTATTACTCTAAATTTACTGATAATATTTAATTTTATTAAAAATTATTAATATACTTAAAAATAAATCTTTAGAAAGTTAAGCTTATAATCACAGCTATACTATATCTGCTTTTAAATTGTATCTTTATATATATATTTAAGTATATTAAAATAATTAATATCCAGAGATTAAAATAGATAAGATGAATGCGCGGGTATATATATAAAAATAATATTATTTTTAATATAGATTTAATTAAATTCAGGAATTAAATGACTGTTATAGCTGTTAAATATTAGAAAACTATATTTATTTATTAATTTATTTTTAATTTATAGGATAAAGTACTTTTAAAGCTATTAAAAACTAATTATATTAATAATCTAATTATTATTACTGACTTTAATTCTCCAGATAGAGAGAATAGATTAATCTTTATACTAAATCTTAAAATATATTTTATCTTTAAAAATTAGAGTTAAGAGTAGAATTATCTTATTAGATTAAATATATTTAATTAAAGTAACCTATTCCTAATTCTCTGGTTGAACTAGGGATGGCCGGCTAGTTTTTTAGAAACTAATTATTATTTTAACTGTAGTAATTATCTCTATAATAAATTTTATTTTATTAAAATTATAAATATTATTTAATAAGATTTTATACTCCTGTATAATTTTCTAGATTTAATTAAATTAATTTTTTATAACCTCAGGATTCTTTATTTAAGTTTTTTAATAATTATATTATCTAGTATAGTGGGTTCAGAGAGTTTTATAATATTTAATAAAATTATAAGCCTAGTTAATATCTATTTTTTCAGAAGTTATATAATCTTATTTAGATAAAATTAGATTAACTATATTTTTAATTTTAAAAAGCCGGGGACTTGTATCTTACTTATTTAAAAATAAAATCTATTTAATAAATAAATCTTCTTTATTTTTTAATAATTTTTAATATATATAAACTATATCTCTAGTAAAATCATATCCAGATAATTAAATACAGAGGGTGGTTCAAGTAATATTATAAATATATACTGCCTAGTAAATACTGGTAATTTAGTCTTTCTGAATAACTTTAATAATTAAAAGGATTCTGCCTTTCTGTTCCACCTGTATTTTTGATAAGATAGATGCTTTTGGTGGTATCTATAGTATTTGAATGGCTTCGGGTAGGAATTCGAGGTGGTGTTTTTGATGGGGTGGGCCGCCCAACCGTGTGGGCCGCCCAACTGTTGATTATGTTAGTACCACTCCTTTGCCCACTGTTTAAGAGAGTCCAGTTTGGCATCAGCCTTGGCAATAACTCCTGGATCAAAGGAAGGCCTTTATCAACTGCAACGTCATTGGCGCCTCCAATGTCCACGCCTCGACGTGCGAGCATATCAGCAGATAAAGGTGCGTATGCATACCCCAAATCCCCTCCCTTTCTTCTCGGCCAATCCTTCAGGGATATTAACCAGAACCAAGACTGTCCC